TTTGTTATTTATATTTGTTTTTATCACGTCTTTGGCTTGCTCATCAATTACTTGTTGCTTTTGTTTCTTTTTTGTAGGGTACGCCCTGTTCACGTTTCTTTTTTAAAAAGACGAAAAATACTCGTATTAAAACAAAAAAAAACTGTTTTATTATGAGTCATAACATACTCGAGTACGTATAATAATCACTTTGCATTTTAATTAAAAATTAACGTTGCGTATCGTTGACGTTATACAAGCGTCTGGGAATGGATAAAATATAATTATTTATGCGAATCTATAGGACTTTTCTATAAATATTTAGCATTTACTTACATATGAGGTTTGGAAGCTTTCAAATATAAAAAGATAATCAGTCAAATAAACTATTTCCATTTTTAAAACATCCTGTTTTGCCAAAGCTGAGATCAGCCCTAATTTATAAAAAATAACCACATTGGAAAAGATTTACGAATATTTCATGCCCGAAAAATATTATAGCTTTGCTTGGTAATATATTTAGGTTCAACAATTTCCATTTCTAGCGAACATAAAAAGTAAAAACTCCTCCAATCTAATTGATGTACTCTAGGCGACAAATGAAAGTGTACACCTTGTTCTAATATAATATTCACAACAAAAATATAGTTCATTCTTTAATATAAACCATATAAATCATAGATTCACACTTTATATAATGTTCACAAAAATTCATAAAAATGTCATCCAAATTTATTGAGAATTTCTAGAAAATTTTTTAGTATGCAGTCTTGTAGGGCATACAATTTTAGTTTATTGAAGTGCAAGTTTCAACCGGCTACAAAATCGCGTTAATTTTTGAGATTTTTTTTTTAAGACTGCTTTTGCGGTGTAGATACTGTGGTTAAAAACTTAGCATTAAAGCTCTAAACCATAAAACCGAAAAACTATTATGGCCTGAATATAAAAATTATTTTTACACAAAAAAACAGGCATAATTTTCTCAGAAATAACTCAGGCAAGCATTTTTTTGTATTCAAAATTGCATGAGCGCTACCGCTAAAAATAATAGAAAATTTACATATTAGTTGCAATTAGTATGAAAGACACGCTTGTTTGTTTTTCATAAACCCAATTAAATATACAAATTTGGGCACACTTTTACTACGCACATTTCGAAAAGAATACATTAAATAAACATAATGAGTCACATGCAGTGCGTATAAACAGTATGTAATACGGTGCCGACACAGAGACTAAAGAAATTTCCTCGTAATTTAAAATTTCTTATGTTGTACGTGAGCCATCATATTTGAATATAAGGAAGTTTGTTTAGGTGGTTTTTTGGGGCATACAAATTTTTAGTTACATAGCATCTATGTTTGTAGTGTAACATCAAACCCCAAAAAAAAATTCCAATTTTATATACAAACATATGTACGAGGGAGTAGTGACCCATAGAATTCGCAACATAATGTGATTTAAACCGATCTGACCTTTGCATCGTTAAATTTTACATTTTTTAGTATTAACGTGCTTAGAACGTGTGAGAGCGCTCTTTGCATTGTTTGCAGTTACTTCAAAGTTTCAAGTATGTATTTCAAAAGAAGGGTTTCGTTGAATGCAGTGTTCAGATTGGGCGATTTAGCGCCAATTTGGTGATTTTTTTCATATTTGCCCGTAAAAGTTTAGAAAATTGTCTTGGGCGATTTTGAGCAATTTTTTCCTTCAAATCAATTTTTTGTGCGCTACCATGTAAATTCGTCGAAACACGTATAAAGTAGATTTGGGATTTATGTTGTTACCGATTTATTGCAGCACATCGAACATTTGCCAATATTAAACCGCCATTTGTGACTCCCACTGAATGTGAAATTTGCAAATTAATTTGTGAAAATTTATTTATTTTTATTTTACTTTTAGAGTCGAGCGCTTATAAACGAACTGTGCGCTTAATCAATTAATATGAGTTATAATAAATTTATTAATTTCGCAGCCCTATTGGAATGAATGTTTTAATACAAATATTAAAAAGCAAAAATGCGTATTTTTAAAAAAAATTTTTTGTAAATCACTTTTGTATATGTGATTTGTGTTATTTATATTATATTTGTAAACTGAAGGTATTATATTCGTTTTTGGTTTAAGCGACTATGTTATAGTAAGATCTCATTTTAAAATAAAAGATTTGTTAAGCCGATTTCATGATTTTATTTTAGTAATTGGGTTTTTTTAACAATCTGGGCACCCTGCTTGAATGATTGTTTACAACTTTCGATACATTAACATAATAAGAGTGCATCGAATTTATTCGACGCAACACCATCAAGGGCCATTGGTATAATGCATTGAAGCGTGGTCGTAGGAGTCGTAGGACCCAGAAAAGAAGGCCAATAAGTTTAATGGATCTTTCAAAGTAAGAAAAAAACTAACACAATTTTTCGCACTTTTAAACAACTGATGGCTTGTTTCTTCGCAACACCAGAACAGTTAATTCTAAGTGGCACACAACCATTTGTGTGTCAACAGTTTTAAACGATAGGAGAAAAAACAACGAACAACGGTTTATGTGTGCTTTTACACACTTCGTCAAAAAATTATTCGTTCAGTCCCCAAAACATCGAATTGATAGGATTTAGCACCTAATGGGTACCGATTTTCACCGCAAGAAAAAGCACATTCAAACCCCATATTTTTGAGGTACCGACTAGAGATGGGCACGGGACTAAATATTTAATCCCGAAATTCGATTTTTAAGTCCCGAACCCGCCCATCCCGAGGATCCTGTGGGTCCCGAAATCTATCTCTAATGCAGCCTACAAACGGACAACAAATTGAAAGGATCGGTTCAGATTTCAACGTTTGTGGCGTGGTTTGCAAACTGATCGAAGGTTGACAAAAATGTTCATGTCTTTCAAATTAATTTTAAATAATAAGTAATTTTTATGCAATATATATATATATATTTCATCACCCAATAATCGGATCTAAACTAGATTAGTATGGGACCACCTCTAAGACAAAACCTTTCCGATGCAAAACGAATTATCGAAATCGGTTGACGTGGTCCAGTTATGCGGTACATACATAAAAAAAAAATATTCCGACGAACTGATAAGCTCCTCTTTTTTTGGAAGTCGGTTAAAAATAATAGTGAAAGATCTGGTATCTTCCGATTATTTTGTTTTGTTCTGCTGTTCGTTTTCTTCTCAATAAAACATTAAAAGTGCATATTTCAAACACCGGTTTTAAGGAAGATTTTGTGTGAGTTTGCGAATTTTGTGAATTTTAAATCAGTATCGTGGCTCCCGCGGGTTTCGCTATCCCGCACCCATCTCTAGTACAGACTTCGTTGTGGGAAAAATGATTTACTAATTGATTTGAGATGCTAGCTATATTTTGGAAATCCCTTTCTATGCTCACGAACTAGACATCAACCATTATTAAATTGAGAAACCAAACCCTTTCATTAGTGATCGATTGCACGAATACTGACTCATACTTATTTTTGATTAAATGTTAATGATGTACAACATTTTAATGGCAATAGACTGCAGGTATTCACACCTTCTTGGTCATTAGGTTAACTGGTTTGCAAGCTATTTTTCTTCGAGGTATTTTGTTGTAGGAAACTGAATACGAAATAGGCGTATTCATTTAACATGATAAACGTGATAAAATTACAAATTTGTATGGAACGTTAGATGAATACATCCTATGTACATAAATATGTATAACTACGTAAACAAATTTAGTTAGATTTAGTTTATCATATCATGTTAGTATCCGCTTTTTCGCTTAGATTTGACTCTAAAGCTAGCGTGACGAAACGCTGTAATGGTATTTAATTTTTATTGTTTGTTTTTCGCTTTTATGTTGTATGTATTTATGAAAATACCTTGAAAAACATAAAAAGCCGAATAACACAGGACTAAAACAAAAAAAATCTATGAATTGAACATTTTTCTTTTAATTTGACCATCATATTGGATTCGCCATTTTGAATTCGGAAAATCTGAATTCAAATTCGAAAACCCCTAACGGGAAGCATAGGGCAACAATAATAAAAATCTATGAACTGTAAACCTATAACTCCATTTCCGTGTGTATATTCTTCGATTTTTCATTTCCTAAGTAAAACGAAAAGTTTATAGTAAGACATAAAAAACATAAGAAATACATACCTGTGTATGTATATGTACATATGTATGTATATGTTCATATAGCAAAAATATGTTCATTTTTGGCATCATTCGCAGCGCACCTTGAGACCGTCAGGTTCTAACTGTAAATTACAAATTCAACTAAGAGCGGAGTGCTGTGGCTCATCGTCCAACTTACGGAAGCTATTTATTTTCCAACAACGGTGGATGTCCACGTATGCATGCAAAAAAATTTTCTAGAATTTAACTGAGTGGAACAACGCTACCTCGGTAGTCGTAATTCTAAAAAGTGCTAAATGCTAAATGTTAAGCCCGGCCTGAAATTTTTAACGCATGTACGTATGTATGTAGACAGTTGAATACGTAACGCATACATTGTAGTTGGCGGAATGGCATTCTTTCAGCTCAAATATTTTCATTGTTTACTAAGCAAATACATACATACATATGTATGTATGTACATAGATGCGTATGGAAAGGTACGTTAAAACAACACCAATAACAAAAGCCGATGGCCCAGTTTAAAAAGTTTTGTTTTGTCCCCCTCTTAAAAGTCGGGTCATGGCAGTAAAAATGGTGGAGTAAAAAAAAAAAAAAAATAAGAATGCAATACTACGTAGACGAGGTATAGTGATACAAACATACATCCATACATATTTGCTTCGTACGTTTATTTGTATGTATGTACATATGTATATGTAAAAAAAGTTAAAAAATGCGGAGTTTATTACTCAGCAGGAAATAATAAAAATTAAACAAAGTTAGCCGTAAGCGAATTGTGAGTAGTGAAGAAGCGTAGAAATATCGAGATTCGCGCGATTAGTAAGCTCTGCCGTTCAAGAAGTATGTACGTATGTATGTAAGTATTTAAGCCACCAACGGGTGCCTGCCTGAAAGCTGCACCGCTAGAATTCACTGATCTTTTAGCTCTGAAGATATAAGTTTGTATTATCGTACATACATACTTACATACAAACAATTGCAATTAAATTCATTGCAGTCACTTCAGCTGAACTTTAGTAAATTTGGTGAAACTGCCGAGCAACATTCTGGCCAACCCTTTGTAAGAAACTTGTACAGATACGAGTATAAAAAAAAACCATAGATTGAGCTCAGAAATTCTTAAAAACATCCAGATTTATTACTACATACTTCAAATCAGCATTTAAAGTTTTATAAAGAAGAAGGTCATAATCGTAAAAATCTGCGCCTCTTTGCTTACCGTGGCCCCATTTGAGGTGTTGTTAAAATATATTGTATGTGTTGTTAAAAAAAAAAACAGTAAAACTACCAAATTTCACCGATTCTTCGAAATGCACTCACATAAAAGTGAAACGAGTTGAGACAAATGCTAATTTTGTACACAAAAAGACGGAGGTTGTGCGACAAATTAAATAATGGAAAAATCAAAAACAAGTTTCCACAAACAAAGGGATACAAATCACGTTATTTTAAAGTCACCTATCTACATACATACATACATATTTATTTTAAAAAGATGAAAGGTCTTTGGAGAAAATAAAAAAGAAAATATAAAAAAAGCTGACAAATGAGTTTTATTAAAGTGGAGCATACCAACCTAGATACATTCATATGTACTTACATATATAAGTACATACACATGCATGTGCTTGATATATTTGTTTTAGTTATTAACATGTTTAATTTTATTACCCGTTTTTAAATGCATTTTAACTTATTTTCCAATTTTAATTTTATGCACCAGTTACGTTACAGAGAAAGATTTAATAGCACTCTAGTTTAAAAGCTGTTTTTTATCAAAATGGATGAATCATTTGCTTATACATATTTTAATATGTAGATATGCATTATACTTAATTATATTTAGTAGAAATATATGCACAAACATATACAGCACACTTGCATAACTAAATAGATACATAAGTATGTATGTAAGCAGGTGTGTCTCGAAGTTTATAAATATTAATTATGGAAACATCGAGCAAAGCAATGATCTAAGGGCAATTCCTTGAGAAACATACATCCCTACATACATACATATGTATGTATGTAAACTTTAATTTAGTTACTTTGCTATACATATGTATGTCATTCAATAAGTCCACATTTAAACAATACCTAGTGCTTCAAAACAATTATAATTAATTAGCGGGCTTGCGATAACTATAGTTTTTTTTTTCATTTAAGCACTTATATAATTTCAGTTGTCGATTTGATTCTACCATTTCGAGAAAATATCAGGTGGCCCAATTTCTGGAAATTTTCTTGGCTGATAAACAATTATCACTTCTCAGATATCACTGATTGAATTTCAAAACCGTGCTGCCACCATTTGATTTTCTGATACGAGTAAGTACTTAATGATTCTGCAAACAAATAATTGAACGAAAAAGTCAGTTTATATCGAGCAAGGTTTCATATTTTAGTTGTTTTAAAAATTTCTGTACACATTCGATAGGGCGGTACTCCTCCTGTAATAGTAGTATTTTTTTATTTATTTTACAAAACGTTGTGTGACGAGATATAAGGATTTATATGAGAAGAATTTTAGAAAATTTCTGAAATTCAGATATCTTTTGCAAATATCGAGCCCTAACCGCCAAAATAACGTAAGCGACATTTTTTTCAAAAATTTTCTTTTTGACGCAAAAATATTCGTAGAGCATCTAGATGCATTTCTGCATCAAAAATAATTTTTTTTAAAAAAAGTCTCTTAAGTTATAAACACATTTATAAAAACTTGTTTATGATAACTCGCGTAAATCATGATTCTTTTTAAAATATATACATATGAATGCGATTTTCCGAACCGTTTGCTGACTGCTGAAAACAGCCGCTTTTAAATTGGATGTTCGTTTTTAAAAAACATATTAAAACCAAGTTTCAAAAGCCGCATAGTCTAAACCAGGGATGGGCAGATTTTTGGCTCTTAAAGCCGCCAAAGAGCCAGCAAGTGCTAAGCAAGAGCTTAATCAGTTCTCAGGGTAGAAGGGGTGTACAAAATACATTAAAAGCATTATATATAATAATAATAGATTGGCGCTTACACATATGTTAGTGTTTGGCCGAGCTTCTCCTCCGATTTGTGGCGTGCGCCTTGATGTTGTCACACAAAGCGGAGGGACCTACAGTTTTACGCCGACTCCGAACGGCGATTGTATTTTTATGAGAAGCTGTTTTTCATGGCAGAAATACACTCGGAGGTTTGCCATTGCCTGCCGAGGGACGACCGCTGTTAAGAAAAAACCTTTTTTCTATATTTTTGCGATGTTGCTTTGACCAGGGTTTGAACCCAGGCATTGTGGAGTGGAAGCGCGCACTGCTTACCACTACACCACAGCGGACGAAAGCATTATAACGGGTGATTTTTTTGAGGTTAGGATTTTCATGCATTAGTATTTGACAGATCACGTGGGATTTCAGACATGGTGTCAAAGAGAAAGATGCTCAGTATGCTTTGACATTTCATCATGAATAGACTTACTAACGAGCAACGCTTGCAAATCATTGAATTTTATTACCAAAATCAGTGTTCGGTTCGAAATGTGTTTCGCAAACCCAATTGCTGCGAACGGCGACGAATCGACATTTCACGGTCTTCAGCAACACTCTCAGAAACAGACGCAATATTCTCTTCTGTACGCACTGTACGCATTCGTGTGGTTGGTTTAATGTCCAATAAAGTAAACTGAGTGCGAAACTTGGTCACAATCGCATTAATTGTTTGCTCACTTGGTCGATTATGTAGACCATAAATCGGACGCGCGAAACACATTTCGAACCGAACACTGATTTTGGTAATAAAATTCAATGATTTGCAAGCGTTGCTCGTTAGTAAGTCTATTCATGATGAAATGTCAAAGCATACTGAGCATCTTTCTCTTTGACACCATGTCTGAAATCCCACGTGATCTGTCAAATACTAATGCATGAAAATCCTAACCTCAAAAAAATCACCCGTTATATACATATTTGTAATGAGAGTCGGAGTACAAGAAATTTGAATACGCTCTTCTTCCCCCTTTATGCTGGCTCTTGATGTTGCATCTCATCTACCACCTAAATGTGTCAAGCCGGCTCCTAAGTGCAAAAGGCTCCAGGGAGCCACTTTGCCCATCTTTGGTCTAAGCAAAGATAACAATATGGAGTAAAATAGAAAATCTCCATACAATCAAATTTTTGCTTTTAGGCACTTTCAAATTAGTTTAGAAATGAACTTATAATAACCGCACGATCCTGAAACCTTACTAAGAAAAGTTTATATAGCAGTCCTATTTCAAAAATAGCCTTTTACTCTAACGCTAGGGTAATCCACCCTCTTCATATACTATAGCTGGTAAAAAAAATGTTTGAAAACGCATTTGTAACAAATTCAAAATAAGACTTTCTTTTCATAATAAAGAGGGTTCGTTGCGTTGGAAAGAAATTTTACCGAGCAAACATTTTTTCTGAGTGGGTATTCTACCAGAATCCTTCATCAAATTATGGAACAATGCATCCCTCTCAATTCGTGTAACTTGTTTAAGAGTTGCAACGGGGGGCATATCTTCGGTGTTTAGATTTGCTTCGCGAATGGTCTTTAAATGTGCGATATATACGTTCGTAAGCCTCACAGAAGGATGCTGCTTGCCTTTGCCAGGTTTCTTCGGTTAACTCAAGATATTTTCAAAAAAAAAAACCCCGAATATTGATTCAAGATTCTTGAAAGCATCAAATCTTCTTGTCCTATTTTCAAAAACGCAGTCCAACTGAATGTAAAACAAATTTTGCTTTAACTGACTCTCAGAATTTGAATTCATTAATTCCTGAGGTAACTCGCCAAAATTGCGCTTCCTTGTTGACGAAAATCGTTTTTAAAAGCCACTTATTAAGTTTCGAGACACGCTAATCACGAATATTATGTCAAATTAATTGTTGACAGCGGTCAAATAAGCTGTAAATTTCTCTAGAAGTAAGCGAATTCTCCCAAAAAATTTGGCCCACTAAGTTCTAAAACTAACTGATCTTGAATTCTATATAATAGTTAAATTTTTTCAGTTGATAACTATCATTTTCTCTAAAAACAAGACTGTCTTGGAGTTGAGTAATACAATATTTTCGCTTAGTAAAAGAAATGATTAAGAGGACATATTTAAAACGAATTTAGAATTAAATTATGAAATAGGAACAGTTATTGTAATCATACAGGGTATTTGGTAGACGTTGAACATTGGCGGTCCAAAATAAGTAAAGTCGGAACTTTAATGCTCTCACCCCTAGGATTGTTCTATATCGAAAAAATATACCCTATTTTTTATTTTGAAATCAAAAAATATTTAGCGGTCGCTCAAAGCGCTTGAAGTTTTCCATGTATTTTAAATAGGAAGTAAACTACTTTTCGTAGAAACGGTATAGAATTCTTGAAAATCAATATTTTTCGATCTGAAAACTCTGGTTCTCTTCAGTAGACTTCAAATAAACATACCTAATTCTTTGTTTAACAATTTTTTTAAACTTAAGATTTTATATTTATCGCCCATTGCGTTTTCTGGCATTTTCTGGGGGTTTTGGCGGACCTGTAAACTATAGCTACTATGAAAAAGTGGTTAAATAAATAATTGGGTATTATTATAAAGTCGACGGGAACTTATTGCTCGGCTCCGCAAAGTGACCAAAGTTAAGTTTTCAAACCCTTCCCTCTAAAAATTGGAGTACAGAAAATGCAACGCACTCAATTAAGCAACTGTTTTTTTTGAAGATTTGCTTAAAAAGCAAACGAATTTTTAAGCATGAAAACCAAAAAAAAATTAACTAAAACAAACCTAAGAAACTCGAATTATCCCCAAAAGAATCAGAATTTGTTGCTCTGTGTTAGCGTGTGTTTTAATCATTATTTTTTTGTGGAATTAACAATTTTTATTTCATTAGGTTTCTCGAATTTTTAGAAACTTAATATGTATGTATGTATGCGGACTTAAAAATTCAAATTGAATCGCAAAATACGCGAATCACGAATACGCAAAATACAATTTAGAAAAACAAATGAGTATTTGTAATTTGAACCCTTATTATTTTATTTGTATTTTTTGCTCAAAGTACATACTTAATTTTAATTGAAATGTATGGCACATCGAGTTTTAAAACCAGAAATGTACTAAAATGTTGCGAGCGAAAAAAAACGACAAAATAACAAATATGGATGTACATTAGACTGGGTCGAAAAAAAAAGTTGCTAATGTCCGCCCCTAAATTTAAAGATTATGTTGAGAGGGTTCTGGAAAAATTTTTTTTTTTTTTTTTTAACCCTCCGAAATACAGCCGAAATGGTTTTTTCGTTGTAACTTGGTTATTTGACGGCCGATTTTTAAAATTGATATGTCATTATTTTTGTCTTGAGAAGCTTCACTTTTCGTTCTTATGTCTTTTTAAGCTTTGAAGTCGCGTTCGCATGATAAGGGCAGAAACAAAATTTTACCCCCCCTAAAGTATATTTTTTTTCCTTACCAAACGAAAGTACTTAAAAATTCAAGAAAATGTTGCCTTCAAACTATATTACTAAAATAATAAACAAAGGAGTTATAGCACTTTTAATATCACAGGTCAACATGAGTTTCAGATGTAAGTATAATAACACAGTACAACAAAAATTGATTTTTTTTATGCAACAGAGTAACCTAAATTTAAGGATTATGTTGAGAGGATTTCGAAATTTTTATTTTATTTTTTTTTAACCCTTCGAAATACAGCCGAAAAGGTTTTTTCGTTGAAAGTTGGGTATTTGACGGCCGATTTTTAAAATTAACATGTCTTTTTTTTTTTGTATGGGGACCGACCCAGTCTAATGTACATACATGCTTGCACTTTAATACAGTATCTACCTAAATTGTTCCTCATTCGCTTGAATTCTCTTTTGTACTATAATTATAAACACCGGTGAGATTCACTCTATTAAGTATATTTATGTATCTACTTAGAATTCTTTGCGGCGTTAGAAACTTATTTAACGATTTTTTTTAAACAGTAAGTGCAATTAGATTGACTGACAGCTGTGAAGTGGGCAATCCCATCCAAACGGCGCGTTTGAGTTAGAGTGAATAATTGTACATATATACATATGTATATAGACAGACTTGGAAAGTGTTATTGCCAATTTAAGAATTAAATATAAAAAAGCTACTGCACTTTTCATAATGCATTTAAATACATATTTATATAATCTTTAAATCTGCTGCAACTGTGCGCTTTCATTTCAATTGCCTTGCAACGTAATTTCACTTTAAATTGAAATGATGGCTGCTGCATGCATGACCGTTAATTGAGAAATTACTAGAAGTAATAAATCAAATGATGATGTACATTTATACATACTTATGTGGTGTAGGTAAGTGAAGGTATATGCATATGTACATATATGTGTACCTACATATAGTATATTTTTAGAAATACACATTATTCACGCATGATAGCCTCATACATATGGATGTATGTATATACATATGTACATTAGGGTGCCTCCACAAATCGAGTACTTTTTTAAATAAAATAAATAAGTTTAAAAAAATGTTTTTGCCAAAGTGTACTGTGTACTTGCCCGGTTATCTGGTTAAACATTGTTATTCTGTAGTGCATGTTATTGTTGTAAACTGAATAAAAAAATAGCGAAAACTGTTAAGCACTAATTTTATTTATAAAATGCTTGATTTTTAGAGGTACATATTTTCAAATCGGTTCAGTTCACGTAAATCTTAATATTTTTCCGAAATATTTTTGCGCAAGTCTTCAAATGAAATAAACTTTATAAGTCCGGTGGAAAAACTGTACCGATTTTTTGGTATGGAGAGTTGTGTACCCTAATCTAGTACATACATACATATGTATTTAGAAGAGTAGAAATTTTGATTAGAAAAAATGCAATTATGATTCTGCTGATGGTCTTACCAATAAACAAGCAAACTGTGTAAATCGTTTTATGTAGGTGCTTCAAATATAAATTGCGACATACATACATACATATGTACATACATACCCATGTACATAGCGCAATATTTATGCATGGACTACATACATACATATATGTATATGTGCGTGGCCTATCTATTTTTTCCAGTGCTGCACACATCTGTGTTGCACATGTTGCCGCTATTGCAATGCACAAAGGTATGCACATACATATGTATTTATATATTTTTTACATGTAAAATTTTCTAAGGTGTACTTACTCTCCATAGTATGGCAACGCCTGTAGATAGCCGAATATGGCTAGTAGTGTTAGCAATAAAACGCTACCTCGCAACATTTTTTTGCTTTGTAGTTTCCACCCAAAAGTGAAATGTTACACCAAAATCACTAAAAAAAATAATAATAATTAAAAGAAAATCACTAAAAACAATAATAATAATTAAAAGAAAATCACTAAAATATATTTTTGTTTATTTTTTTACGATGAATTGTCTTGCTAGTAGCGTGAAATTGTCACCGACTGCAGTTTTCACGAAGACTTTCAAAATTGGTTTTTGTCTTCTTTTACACTACACTTTTAACACTGTCTTCACTATTTAATCACCGTAATTATACGGCAGGAGTTTCTTGCAAAATACTAGTAGGTAAAACTCTGTTGAAATGCTTACAAGTCTCTATAAAATTTGTATGTATTTTCTTTTCTTTCTGCAATATGTATGTATGTTGTTTCTCGAATGTTTTGAAATCTATGTTTAGTGTTTCGTCGCTTTATCAGCTTTTTCGTTAGTTTTATATGAGTTGTTCTCTATAGCACCGTTCAATATAAACTGAGCGCACAGAACAACAGTGCCGGTATTTATAAGGTGCGCTTCCCCCTACACATCTCCTGCCACTTGGATCGTACTGTATGTATGTAGTAGTTGGCTGAGTGATCGCTTAGTTGATCGGCTGTCTCGCTGGCAGGCTTGCTATTATACGTTGTTGGTTTATCGAGTACGTTCGTTTGTTGATGACTTACTGGCTGCTGGCAAATCTTCATGCGGCGGCTGAGGTCTGGTCCGGCGTGACCTGGCTGCCTTTTGCTTGTTTTCGTTGACTGCCTGGATGAATAGCGTTTGGTTTGATGGCGGCTGCGGCAGCTAATGCGTTGCGGCTTTGTATGAATTAGAGATGCGCCCGGGACTAAATATTCAATCCCGATCCCGCCCATCACGACATTCAATTTTTAGGACCCGGACCTGCCCATCCCGTCTTTTTTAGATTTGTACCGCGCGTTCCGTGGGTTCTCATATCTATCACTATGGCTCTCAAACAAATTGTGAATAACATATATATGTTCATAAACATATATGTATGTACTCAAATATATTTTTACCGAATATTCTACTTTCGGCATACTGAAAGATCTGGCGGGTTTTATTGGGAATGTCGGGAAAGGATTTTTTTCACTTGCCGATACCGCCCATCCCGACCATTTTGAAATTAGTCCCGTGGGCTCCGCTGGTCCCGATATCACGCCCATCTCTAATATGAATATATTACAATACATATGTATGTAGATGAATTCCTGCAGCAATAAGGCGGCCAATTTTCCGTTAAGTACTAGTACTTCACTGGTTAAAATTTGACTGGTCAGAATTGGACATTTGCTGGCATCGAAAATTTCAGCCTTCGACCAGTCCCCAAGGAACCGGCCTAGAGATAGACGAAAAGTACAGTTCGGCAGTGACAGGGTAGTGTTGTCTTGCAATTCAATAAAAAAAAAATTAAAGAACACCACCCTGTAAATGTCCCAATCGCTTGGTCTGGCCTTGATGCGAAGTGAACATTTGAACACACATTTACATGCGTGGCTCAGTGCGCAGAGATACTTGCCACTATTTGTTAGCTTTCTGGAGGGTCCGGGTTAAAATGCCGTCAGAAGCAACATGGTTATAAAATGATAAAATTTGTTTTTTCTGCGTTTCCGAATTATGAACAAACATCTGCGAAGTGCAGAACGCAATCTTACTCTAACGAAAAAAATCTCCAAAATTGGACTAGTCTGGGACTATCTTACGGTCAGTGTTGATTGGACCGGTCCTTTTCCAATGACACGCCAATGCTAAAAGTGGCAGTTGAAACCATAGGCAGGGGAATTATAAGGGAGTAGTGCTGGTAACAATAGGGACTATCTGAGGGCTAACCTAGGGCGAGTCTGAATTGCTGCAGGGATACATGGTTTATGGCACTTTGGTTGGCTTGTGTGTCGATTGTTGCCGTCGTGGCGCTTGTCCCCCCATATTTAATCGAATTTGTCCATACTTTGTCTTCTTCGTAATTGTTTTTTTTTTTTTGCGTGCAATATCGATTTGGTTGGCCTGCATTTTCTGCTATCTGCTTATTTCTTATGAGGTTTTATCTTACGCAGTCTTAAATATTTTTTTAAGTATTTTCTACCTTGGCTTTGTTGTCTTACCTGACTGTTTGCCTTCTCCACTTTCTACCGTGCTAAAGATAATATGTATGTATGTAGTTACTCGTGGATCGACAGTTGCAATAATGTGGCCAAGCTTTGTTGAGGTGTGTATTGAATTGTTCTCGATTTTTGCCTGCCGGTATAGTTGAAGTGGCTGCGACCACAGAGAAAGGTGAATGAGACCAAGAGATGCGAGGTATAAATAATTACATATGGGCATTTCCTGCGTTACGGACGTTCCATGCGGAGATAACTTTCATTATAAAAACAATTGTAGGCTTTGGATCCAAACATTTTGTTTGAATGTCACAAATTTCCTACATCCAACACAAGTAAAACTGTTTTCCATAAATATCCCCTAGTTAGTTTAGGGCGCCTAAAAATAGCTGTAAGGACGTTCCTAAAAGGCATGATTCAAAATTAAATATTATTGAATCATGCCTCAAGTATGTATGTACATCAGCTGACAAAGTTTATAAAATTCTGTTCATCTATTAAAGCTACGAAACAATGATGTATGAGTCGTTGGTAGATGAGTCAGCAGTCTTTGCCGTCATGGTAGTTTTAACTTCATAAAGGTGTTCAGTACTTGTCAAAAACGGGTCAAAGTTATTCGGACGTTCTAATGTTGTCCAGTGAACAGAAATGCTCATGTTTATTAAAGAATTCGTCGCAGGGATTGATATTTTTATTCAAATATGGGTTTTATTCTTAGTCGCTGCATATGAGAATGTATGTAAAAATTAATTACATAGCTAACTATGGGCGTTAGAATCTTTCTCGCGGTCAGAACAGTTGAGACGGCACTCGAATGCAGTCTTCCTCGACATAGAGGAAGCCTTTAACAATGTCTGTGTAGAAGCTATTCAAAAATCCCTGGACGAGCTTGGCATGGAGGAGGCTATAAACTCATGATTTATGGCGATGCTTTGCAGTAGAATGATTTCAGCTGTAATGGGAAGCTGCCAAAAAGGAACGTCAGTAGGGGTACTCCTCAGGGTGGAGTGATTTCTCCAATTTTATGACCTACCACTATCAACTTAGTACTAGTCAAGCTCAACCAAAGGGGAAGTAAAAGTAATGACCTACGCTGATGATGTAGTACTTTCATCAACCAGGTTGTTTTCTTCTATGATGAGCATTTTAAAATTTTAGCAAATAAAGTAAACGTGACCAAAACTTTTAACTTAAGACCATTTGTAACACATTTTTGCATAATTTTTGATAAGGAATTTAAAAGGCATAAGACGTACATAATCACTAGATATACTTTTAATTCTTTATGAATTTGTATCTTAATTAGCGAAGTATGTTTTTTACAAAGAATATAAAGAAAAAGAAGTTTGCAAATCGCTAATCTTGTAAATCGTTGTACCTATTAGTATATTTCAGCTGTCAATTGGCTTCATGAAATTTGGTCCAGATGGGTTTTTATTTTTTGCTTTTGGTTGTCTCGTTTTAGGAAATGCCCATATGTTTATGTGTGCGCCAGTGCATAGTGTGGGCATTTGCTTAATAACAAAAAAATCCCCAATTGTTGATACTTCAGATGATAATTAAAGTATGTACATGTTTAATTCTGTCGATAAATACATACATAAGGAGATTTCCAGAATCTAAGTACATATGTACATACTTATGGACATCCATGAATATATAAACATGATTAGGTATTAGGAGTGCAGTCTGCCACTCCGACTTGTTCGATTTAAGGGCTCGCTAAAGTCAACAGCGTCTGTTCATCAGTAGATACGGCTACAAGCGAGCATCTGTGTGGGTAGCTGGCGCCTCGCTATATAAACGTGTAATCAAAAATTCGCCCAGGTTCAGGTTGTGCGCTGGGTCTTATTACCCGCCGCATAAATCAAAGTTCTAACAAAGCCTTGCCTGTAGCCCGTTCCTTGAATGCTACCCATGGCGAACACTTAAAAGAATATGGTTTGATGATATCTGGGATTTTTAAACCCTTCTTAATGGGGAAGGTTTCTCTGCGTGGCTGGTTGATGTCCGAAAGGCAACTAAGTCTAACATCACCGCTATCCAATAAATACGCCGGGTGTTGTGAGGCAAGAAATCTGTGGCCACAAGCCATAACAGCTTAAGTCGAGAGGTTGACTTTAGTATAATGTCCCATTTCCTTCCTAGGATGACAAATAGAGCACTTGCCATTGAAAAAATAACCCGAAACATCTAATTTTGGTGAATATTCCCATCAAGTCTCATAAAAAATTCGTTGTAGGCTACTTAATAATCGATTAGTGAAACACAAAACTACGATACAATTAAATCGTAAATTGGACAAAAATAATCAGTTAATTTCAAATGAACAATCGCTGCCATCCCTAGACGCAAGGCACGCTTCCAGTGTTTTGGACGTACATACATACATCGGTACGCTCCAACATTGACTCAGATCACTATCTTGTTGCGGCCAAGAAATACACGCAGAAAAAAAATTTACATCCGGCAACTCAAGCGAAACTTAAAATAAAAAATGTGCAATCACAACAAAACGGTTTCGTAAAATGATCTTGAGCAATACCTATTTGCTTTATTCTAGATCCCTCTAAATAAATATTCACAATTACAGAGATCTAATATTAGTATTTACCACTTACGCTTCTTTGGCAAAATACGATTTTTTTAGCTACTGGTTTTTACGTAATTTGTCAATCCGAAAATGTTAATTTTATTTTACTCTTCCTGCTAAGTATTTATGCAATTATTTTTGCTTATCTCCCACGAATAAAAACTTACCACTAAAAAATGCAACGAATCAACAACATTATTTAGCTGACTTTGCATGTAATAAATTAAGTCTTTCTTTAAACAGAAATTCAGCAATAAATTTAAAATGAAATTTAGTGAAAAGTTATACAATATAAATGCATGCGTAGGTAAAAAATCACTTGTACTGAACTTGATATCATTGCGTATGTAATATGTATAAAGTAAATTGTATAACCAACGAAGGTCAAATGAGGCTAAACAAGCTACTGTCAGTAAATTTAGTTGAAAACCATTTGATGGTTAAATATCAAGATGCATACATATCGTCGATGTTTTTGCAAAACCGCCCATCGCCCAATTGCAAACCCGCCTATCTTACGGATCGTAAATTTTACGCAAGGATCTCAAATTTTACAGGAGAGCGAAAAACCGGGTTTTCTTTGAAGGCAGTGCTTTGAGAGGCGGCATTTTCTTTAGCTATTATTTCAAAAATATGTATATTGTTTTAATAACGATTTTACGATTTTTATCCATAAATCTCGATGCCTGGAGTTCAGGGTTACGAAGTCTCATTTTTGCCACAACGGCGATTTAGGCGGTTTTGCAACTGGTCGATGGGCGGTTTTGCAAAAACATCGACGGTATGTATGTCTTTAGCGACATCTGCATCGATATTCTT